GCCTGTTGAGATAGCCCAGCATGCTTGGACCCGAGTTCAAGGCTTTGTGTCTCTCCTGATGCTGTGGGGGACATGACCTTCCTTTACAGTACAGAATTCAGACTATAGTGTCTTTTTTTGTTGTTAGCATATTCTTTTCAGTTCGGTTAATGATTTGGGAGTGGACACATTTTTCTTACTCTCTTTCTTTTTTTGTTGTTGTTAAAGTCAATAGGCCCTTCTATACTGACTTCAAAAAGCATGCTTATCTAAAGGGTCTGGTACAATAGAGAACTAACCGCTGAACTACTTCAGGGAAAATAATACAAGGAGTTTCACAGAGAAATGCTGTCGGTCTGCTTACCTCTTTCAGACTGTGGTCTTCCTTGAATATTTAAAACATAAAGAGTTCATTTGCACGTGCAATCTAAGCCTATTCAGAAAATAATATACAGATTTGAAGTCTGTTTTAATCTTTCAATTGAAATTTCCATCTGTGCTGTCTCTTCTGGTGTTAATTCTAAATCAAGCTATGCAGGTTACATGAGTGAAGTTGAACTTCCTCTCATTGCTCTCATGAGGGTCAACCCTCTCCCTGCTGTTTCTTAAAAATTCTCCCCAGGAGGACTCTTAGTGAAACACTTGTGTAGGGCTCCTAATATCCAAATATCTAAATCAGGGGTAGATGTGCCCTACTCAATCAAGCTTACCTGTTTTAAGTCTTACCTCAATCAAAGTGTAACTACATATAGTAGCTGTATTCTCTTAGGCCACATTCTCTCCTTTCAGCTCAGAAGGAAACTAAGCTATTTAGCTAATCTGATTAATTTAGCAGGCAGGAACCTTTTTCTCCTGGCGAACAACAGTTGGCCTATCAGAACCAGTTCTAATCTTTGTTGTCTAACCTTGACCCTGATTTCTTTTTAAAAATTTTTATTAATACTTTAAAAAACTTCTAGCCCTGTACATGACGTGGGCTGTTCCAGTGGGTGTGCTGCAGAAAGAAGACTGGACTTTGTCCCTCTGAGTCTTAGTTTTTCTTTCTATGAATTGATGGGGTTAAACTATATCAGTGAAGCATCAAAAATTTTTGAGAACCAATGTAGGACTTTAACATCATGAAAATAAACAAAATTCCCAACAGCTATAACCTAGTAATTATCATTTCATATAAGAGAGAACATTTTTAACATAAAAAAATGAAAGCATAATCCAGAAAAAGGACAGTTCTTTAAAATGAATAAATTTATTTTTATGAATGAATAAACTCAACACATTGTCCTTCTTCGTTTACATTTCAGCACTAGCCAGTGAAAACTTCTTCAAGAAATGGCAGCTTCTGAGAACCTTTCTGGTTTTACAAGTCTATACTTGAAGTCTATACTTCAAGTCATGTCCAGATAAATCTGGTGGCTGTTGACTTGGCCTTCAGGATGATCTGGCTCCTTGAGGCTCTGGATTGTGTCTTTCATCTTGATCTCTCTCATGTCTAGCACAGAGCCTGGAAAAACAATAGATAAAATAAAAGGTGAAATGATCCCTGCTGAACTTTAGTCATGTATGGAAGGAGAATATCCCGGAAGTAGGGCAAGTTTACCCCAGAAGGGGGTGAGCCCTTGTAATCCCAGCCTCGCCCAAGATCTGCAGCAAGCGGTTAAGGTCAATTCTAGGCTCTAGGTTTAACAGCCTAAAGTCCCTCCATCCTGACCCAAACGTGGATCTAGGGCAGTCAGCAGAAGTGAAAAATCAGACTCACCATCATTCTTTTTTTTTTTTTTTAAAGATTTTATTGAGGAATTGGGGGGAGGGGAACAGCATTGGGGAATCAGGGAAGGGGAACACACAGGTAGACAAATTGCGGTTTTTGTTCTTCTGTCTAGTTGTGGAGGACTTCGCTTCACTAGCCCATGTTGGTATTATCATAGCGCTCTTCCCGGGTGAGGCAATTGGTCGCCGGTCATTGGTCAGTCGCTCATAGCGGCTCCTAGCAGCTCACACTGGCTGCCGGCAGCTCATGCTGGCTGCCAGCCACTCACGTAGCCCACTGCAGCCCTGCTACAGCCTACGCCATCGCCGGCGACTCACAGCAGCCCAGCTCCAGGTCGAGCTGTTGTTCATCATCTTAGCTGTAGAGGGCGAGTGTCACTGGCCCTCAATGTGGCATCCGAACTACAGTACTGCTGCTCAGAGTTGGCGCTCCCAAGCAAGCTCTTAACCAGCTGAACCACTCTGCTGGCCCTCACCATCATTCTTTAAATGGGTATTTCTCGCCACATTCCTAAAACTAGCCTTTTTATTTTTATTTTTTTACTTTTTTTTAGGATTTTATTGGGGAATTGGGGAAGAGGAGCAGTGTTGGAGAATTGCAGAAGGGGAACAGCCAAGTTGTTGTCCTTCAATCTTAGTTGTGATTGGGTGTAGCCCACCATCCAATGCTGGAGTCGAACCAGAAGCCTTGTTGCTAAGAGCACATGCTCTAACCACTGAGCCATTTGGCCACCCTTGGGCAGCTCAGGGCAGCTCAGCTCAACGCGCCATGTTCAATCTTAGTTGTGGATGGGCATAGCCCACCATCCCATGCAGAAGTCGAACTGGCAACCTTGTTAGGAGTACATGCTCTCACCAGCTGAGCCATCCTGCCACCTATTGGCAGCTCAGTGGCAGTTCAGCTCAGGCGTAACTCACTGGCTTATGTGGGAATTAAACTGGCGATCTTGTTGCTCAGAGTTCGTGCTGTTAACCAACTGAGCCACTCAGCCGGCCTAAAACTAGCCTTTTTATAAGAGGCAGTGCATTTACTTATTGAGAGCCAGGGTCCTGGATTCAAACTTTGGCTTTGCCACTAGCTAGCTGCATGTTCTTGGTCAAAATGTTTCACTCCCTGTGCCTAAGTTTCCTTATTTATAAAATGTAGGTAATTATTATATCTGCCTAATGAAGTTATTCTATGGATTAAATGAGTTGGTGTACTTAAAACAGTACTGTTCGCATGGTTAAGTGTTCAATGATAATTTTGACTAATGTATCTCAAGAAATATGGGAATAGGAGAATTTTTAAGGAAGAATTTAAAAAGTTCCTAAAGGAAGTGCTGGTGCTTTTGGAATTATTTAGACCAGAGGGGATTATCATTAAGGTCCATAAAATTAAGTCAATTATAAACCTTATAAAACTCCTTTCTCTCAAAGGGTAGGTTTAAAATGAACTTAGATAAATTCTTACGGAATGAAAGCATAATAGGTTATTGGGAGAACTGAAGATAGTGTGTGGTATGTAATTACTTTTCCCACGTGGAGTATATGGAACCAAATCCTTCCTGCAAATGAGACGTAGAACTTCTTGTCAGCACATTAAAATGACTTTGGAAACTTAGAAAAATCCCAATGCCAAGGCCCCACAGCAGAGCTATTAAATCAGAATCTCTAGAGCTCTCATATTTTTGAAAAATCTCCCCAAATGCTTATAAAGGTGCACCAGGGTTTAGAAACTGCTGAGTAAGTCAGGTTCTCGAGGGAAACTTGTTTTAACCATTTCGTCTTGTATATAATTTCCACTTCTGTCATCCACAAGCAGAATTGCATTTCTTCAAAACCTCTTCTCATTTTTTTCTGCCTTTTTTAGCTTCTGTTCCATTGTGCCGGGTGTTCTTACAGTCTCCCCATGATAATGCATGCTCTTGCATGGGTGGACACTAATAAGTATTTGATAAAATAATAACAATAATAGTAAAAATTACAAGCACCAGTTCTCCCCAGGTTAAATCAGCAGAAATGCCCGGGCTAGTAAGACCCGAATGACTACCCAACCGGTGGATGTACCAGTTGTCAATGAAAGAACGTCCAAACCTATAGAAAGCTTTATAAGAATTTATTTGAGCCAAAGTTTTGAGGACATGCCTGGAAGCAAAATCTCAACCGATTAAGAAAACGCTCTGAAGAATAGCAGTCATGCAGCTTATTTTATACATGTAGAATCAAAGGAGGGTTATCTGAAATCTGTTGACGGTAGATTAAGGAGGCAGGAGAAAGCAAAGGGAGGATGTCTCGAAGGTTGTTGGCTAAAAGGAAAATGGAGAGATACATGCTTCCTTTATATTGGTGGGCACAGGATAGTTAATATTTATCATGTACAGTACACAGAGATAGTATGTGGGCAACAAAATAACGAGTGGTTTTGTGGTCTTGTGTCTGATGGTCTTGTGCTCTGGTGCCAGCAGTTCTGCCTTTGAGGGGTCTGGAAAAGAAAATTACCCTGCCATGTCAAAGATATGTTACCCTAGATACATAAGAATAGACAGGTCTCACTTAAGATAAAGATTGTTCTTTGCTAAGAAAGCTATAGGCCTGTACGTTGACTACCTGCCATGACCTGCCCAGTTAGGAATTTATGATCAAATCATTCTGTGTGGATACTTTCAGTTACTAGGATTGTCAGGCCCACCAAGTAGCCCCTAAGCTTGTCCCATCTATTATGTCACTCCTTTTCCTTCACATAGTGTAGCTTCGAAAGCAGTAGTGTTGTTAGCCAAACGAAATAAAGATACCAACCAACAGCTACAAAGGGAAGAACCAAGAGGCAAGTCTGTTGTCTGCATTAAAATTTCTGAATCCTAATATTATCCGTACTTTTTTTCCCCCGGGAAACAAAATCTCCAAATATTAAGTGGCTGCTTTGCATTGCCAAAAGTTGCATAGTGGCAGGCTGCTAACAGGACTACCTGACACGCTGCAACAGCATCTCCAGGCAGGTTCTTTTAATCTGCTTTCCCTTAAGCTAACTCCCAGCTGCGGTGCAGCCCCACAGCGGTCTCCAGCTAGTGCAGCTGCTGAGCTCCGGTCTGCCTCCCACGCCACCTTCCATCCGCAGTGCGCGGCCTTGGCCTTGGTCTTGGCCTTGGACGCGCATGCGCGGGAGCGAGAGTGGGCGGGTCGATGCTGCTGGAGGAGGACCGGCAGGCCCTCGAAGTCTGCAACCCATTGGCTCTCTCCTGTAGTCTCCGCCCCTGGTCGTTCGAGGCGGCGGGGCGGGCGACGTCAGGCCGCCGGCGCGGGGCTGAGCTTGTGGCAGAAGGGAGGTAAGCGAATGCGGGGTGGCTGGCCGCGGGCTGTGGGCCGCTGCTCCTTGATCAGAGGCGGACGGTTCGCCCCCGCCTCTGGTCTGTCTCAGCCTGTGTGGAGGGTGGCTGAGGCCCTGCGGGCCTGGGGCTCTGCTGGGAGATGGGGCAATGGAGCATGTGGTGGCAGGGCCGTGTCGCGGCGTGGGACGGCCGGGAACGGGACAGGTCTTGGCGTTTGCCCTCGTCCTGTGTTTTCTGGGTTCTGAAATCCCGGGGGACTAGGCCTTTTGCGTTAGAGAGCTTGGGGATGTCTGGGTGGGGCCGGCTCCGGTGCCTGCGGTGGGGCTCAGCGGGAGCCTTACTCGGAAACTGGTTGGCGCGCGATCCTTGCATACTTACCTGCAGCAGATTGCAGTCGTCGCACTCTCTCCCCTGACCGGTTCCCGAGCGAGGGCAGTGCAGGGGATTCCGGCTCTGTCCTGCCTGGCCTGCGTGACTGTCTCCACCTTGCTAGCGACTGACTCAGATCCTCTCTACTTTAATGAAAGGCTTATGAGAGAACAGGGCCTGTTTTCAGATCTCCTGGTTCTCTGGTTCTTTCCTTACTTGGGGGAATTACCTGAAGAAATAACATATGTCTATATTTATATGATAGCATATACATGTATGAATGTATGTTTTGAAATGTCTGCAACAGCTGTGCGGAGATTTAGAGAGACTTGCAGTTATGTCACACCTACTCTCCATGAGTTTTAATTTCAACTATGACATGCCAATCCTTGAGTTCCTAAATTTGGAGCTTCTAAAACCAATGAAGTCATCCTATCAAGTACAATATCATGCAATCCTTCATCCAGTCAACAGATATTTTTGATGGGTTCCTCGATGGTCAGGGTCTTATGTCACAAACTAACGTGGGCATTCCCTGCCTTTTCTTCCAAATTATCTGCCAGTTTTATTGTCTAGATTTGAGATGGAATTTTTTGTTGATGGTTCAATTTCAGGTTCTAGATTTAGGTACAGAAACTTATGATCCTATATCATAAGATAGAGTTCTTCTGGTACCTCATTTAGTTGTCCTTAGGTTTTCACCTGTAGTAAACTGTAATCTGGCTCACTACCACTAAACACCTTAGGGATGACGCACCTACCTACCTGTAAAGTGAGGGAATGGCTTAGAAGTATTCTGTAATTTGAGATGTTCAGGGAGAGAAAGGGCAAATGATATATCTATTGTGTTATCAGCTGGGAAGCTACCATTTTAAAAACACAGGATGCATTTTATGCTTATGTTTTAATGTTTTTTGAATTTGTCCACATTCACTTTTTGATTGGGAAGCAAGTGCATGTTTATAATTTTGATTCGCATCCAATTCCTGCATACAAAGCACTATGACTCATCACAGTTATGAAATGTAATAATCAGAAGCTTTTAAACGTTACATATAAAAACGTACGATATAAATTGGATAACAATGCAATTTTCAAAGCATTTTGACTTGCTTTGGTAGATTAGTAGTATCTAAAACCTCTGTCTTGGTTATTTGCTTACTCGGTTAATGTTAGGTAGTTACCATCACCTGGCTAATATATATCAATATCATGTGTATCCTTTATCTTATCAACCTAAATTTACTATATTTTAATTGATTGCTGCCTGCAGTTGAGAATTAATAATCCAAAAGTAAATAAACTGTTAACTTGAGAATAAAAATGCCCATAGAGATGTAACAGTAGGTTTTCATTTGTTGATTGATGGTATTTGCAACTAGATTGTTTTGCCTTCCTGAATGTATAAAATGATACCTAAAGTAGTTCTCCTGAAACATAATATTCATACCCTCAGGGTACTTTTTGGATATTGTCCACAAACCATTAGGTGAATTAAATTGTTTATATCACTTTTAGGGGTTTGGAAATTCAATAAAATATACCATCAAGATTTTGCTTTTGCTAGATCTTTCTAGTTCTAGAAATGAACCAGATCAAAATGGGAAATTAAGGAGAAATGCAGAAGTTGAGGGGAAAAAAAAATCCAAGTGGAGTCTTTTATAGTTTAAAATTTGAGGGGGAAAAACACAATGAAAAATACAATTTTAACTATATTTGGAAGAAGTGTAGAGAGATAATAGTGTCAGGATTATTGGTGGTTTTAAAGCAAAACTTGATCTTAATATTTCTTAGTTTATCACAATGAACTCAGTTTGTATAATAAATCATTCTTTTGGGTGATAATTTAAACTTTGATTGAGTGGGCAATATATGTTTCTCTGGGAGATGTGAAACATCTAAGTATTGTATATGTTTTAAATGGTACTACAGACCTAGAGATGAGTAGTATAATAAAATATGGTATAGTTGTAGAAGTATAATATAAATATGTAATTCACAATTTGTTATAAATTGGATGGAGGTTGTGTGTAATCTTTATACATGATAGGAAATAAGACTTGCTAAGCTAATAGGACAAGGGATGTTTGTCAGTTTTCTCCCATTTAAATGATTTGAAACAAACTTTTTAAGCAATGTGGAAGATCTCATTTATTTTCAAACATCTAGATCGAACATTGTTCTAATAAATTGAGTCCCCCAAGTACTTATGGCTTCAATTTATTAACCTATTCCAAGTCACATTGGAAGTCATAAAATCGCATTTATGATTTTTAACTTTTGTTAATGTATATTGGCTTTCATTCAGTTAGCTTGAGTTACTTTAGTTTTATATATTCTGAAGTCATTTCAAAAGGTTTCACATTACATACTGTATAATTTTCCATTGATCAAGATTGGGAAAACATTTCTTTAAGCCCAAGAAAGTTGAGAATCCAAACTGCATATAGGTAGGTAGTTTGTGTTATTATTTATTTATTTAAAGATTTAGCTTTTCACTTGCCTGGGGACCAGTGAAGCACTCCACTCAAGCTTGTGAGCTAAAGATTTCAGTTCTTTCTAGTGCATTAGAATATATCTTCTAAACTCTTTTGGTTAGATAAGCAACTGATTGCTAATTTGGCTGATAAGCATGTTGAACAAATGTTATAATTATGAATGTGGTAATGATAGTTTTGTTATGAGGTTTTTCTGGCTGCCAGTGTGTACCTTTCCCTGTTCTCTTAACAAACCCTTTTTATTGGCCTAGTTGCTTTCAGAATTTACCTTAAGTTTTACTCTATTTGCAATCCTTGAGCAGGTTTATATAAGCAAACCTTCAGGTTTTAGTATACTCATATGGTAGTTGACATAAACCTGGAGGGAGTAGAGGAAACTTTTTATTAAAGTTGATTTGAAACATTTAACTAAATAAAAAATTTAAAGTGGTAGATAGTAAAGATATTGTATTATTTATTTTTTCATTTAACAAAAACAGGTCATCTCTGGTTCCAAAACCCTAACTTTTCTTCAAGGAACTAATATTATTGCATGGAAGTCATAGACAAGGTCAAAATACAATGAGATAAATATTATAATTAGATGTAGACATAGAGTACTGTAGGGGATATAGGAAAGCTGTGTGAGTATGAGATTTTAGGAGATTCAGAGAAGGCTTTTCAGAGGAATTTTCATATGAACTGAATTTTGAAAGCAAGTAGGAATTAGCTAGTGAGGATGGAGGGCAAGGCACTCTAAGCACCAGAAAAAAGTAAGGCCTAACAGGCAGGTTAGAGACAGAACATAGACTCTTAATGTATTAAGGAGAGAAGAGAAAGATGAGGTTTAATAAGTAAACAAAGGCCAAATAATGAAAGGCCCTCTTTCCCCCCATGTTAAAGGTTTTGAACTTTATCCGTGAGGCTGTGGTGATCCATGGGTAAGAGATATTAAGTAACAGAAAGTTCAGTTCAGTTTTATATAGCAATGTGTGGAACGAAATGTAGTAGAGCAAGTTCCATTTGTGAAGGTACGATATATTGGATTGTCGGAAAAGTCATGACGCATTTTTGCAACAAAAAACATAGAAAAAAATA